GATGATGAAATGAAATCTCTTCATGATAATAACACCTGGGAACTAATCAAGAAACCTGCTGGAGCCAGATTAGTCAGATGTAAATGGATTTTTAAAGTTAAGGAAGGAATTGAAGGAGTGGTGTCGAAGAGATACAAGGTAAGATTGGTTGCTAGGGGGTTCACTAAAAAAAAGGTGTCGACTTTAATGATGCGTTCTCTCATGTTGTGAAGCACATATTTATTTGAATGTTGCTTGCCATAATGGCACAATTCGACCTTGAACTGGAACTGATGGATGTGAAGACTGCGTTCTTGTATAGTGACTTAGATAAAACAATCCTGATGAGGAAACCTGAAGGGTATGTCAAAAAAGGGAAGGAAGATTATGTGTGCAAGCTGAATATATCCTTATATGGATTGAAATAATCTCATCGATGATGGAATAGAATATTCGACAAGTTCATGGAACGCATAAGTTTCATCAGAAGTCAGTTTGACCAATGTGTTTACTTCAGATTTCGACCAGGTAATTCATTTGTTATTTTGTTGCTCTATGTGGATGATGTTTTAATAGCAAGCAACAATATCAAAGAGGTAATGAGGGTGAAGGTTGAACTAAATAAGGAGTTCGATATGAAGGATATGGGAGTTGCGTCCAGGATTCTTGGGATTGACATCCAAAGAGATAGAAAGCAGCCGAAAGTATGCTTATCTCAATAGGCATACCTACAGAATGTTCTCAAAAAGTTTGGTATGTCGAATTCAAAGCCTGTTGTGACTCCAATAAGCCCTCAATACAATCTGAGTATAGATCAGTGTCGAAACACTAATGTTGAAAGAATTTATATGAATAGCATTTCATATGCTAATATAATGGGTTCTTTGATGTATGTTATGGTCTGTATTAGACCCGATGGAGCATATGCAGTAAGTCTTGTAAGTAGGCACGTGGTGAATCCTGGAAAGGCTCACTGGCAAGCATTGAAGTGGATTCTAAGGTACACAAATGAGCCTCTGAATAGAGTCCTAATTTATGGTAGAGCCTTGGGTGAAGATAGTAAAGCAGCAATCGAAGGATATGTCGACTCTGATTATGCAGGTTGTATGGATTCCAGAAAATCTACTTCTGGATATGTGTTCAATATGTTTGGGACAACGATCAGTTGGAAAGCAACACTTTAAAAGGTAGTTGCCTTATCAACCACTGAAGCAGAGTATATTGCCCTAACTGAAGCTATGAAGGAAGCATTGTGGCTTAAAGGTTTTGCAAAGGAGCTGAAACTTCAAGGTCGAGTTATCACTATTAAATGTGATAGTCAAAGTGCAATACACCTGTCGAAGAATTCAGCCTATCATGAGCGAACCAAACACATTGATGTGAGGCTGCATTTTGTCAGAGGGGTAATCGAGCATGGAGAAGTTCAAGTGCTGAAGGCTTCGATAGATCATAATGCTGCTGATATGATCACTAAGACGTTGCCCAGTTGCAAGTTTTTCCACTCTATGTAGTTGATAAAGCTGCATGAAGAAAGCTAGTTTTTTGATGTTATAGAGTTACATCCAAGGTGGATATTTGTGAGATGTTGGATTGAACTCTAGTATGATCGAAGGGTAGCTTCTGGTTCGACAAGAATTAAGCATGAGGTCAAAGTCTGCTGCATGCTGTTGCCGAAGATAATGCGTGTTGTAGTCAAAGTTTGTTCTAACATGCATTAGTCAATATTGCTAGGTTGTTAGCATATTCGATTGGGCCTTGCTTGTAAGCCCAAGTTTTTAAGTTGGCTTGTAATGGGTAATTGTTAAAAAGTCCATTAGGTTAGTGTGTTATTTTTCTTATAAATAGGATGCTAGTTTCTCAATCTTGGCATAAGAAAAAATAGGAAGATAAAATCCTAATTTCAAGTGAGAGAGGTTATTTTGTTATTCTTGTATACTTGTAATCTTGTTTTAAGATAAAGGAAAGAATAGCAGTTTATAACCAATCCTTGTTGTTCCTTGTTGTTTTACCTTGTCTTCTTTGTTAACCATAACCCTTGTGTGTTTCTTGATCATTAAGAAATCGTTTATACTTTATTTAAGGTATCCGATTAACAATAATATATATATATATATATATATATATATATATATATATATATATATATATATATATATATATATATATATATATATATATATATATATATATATATATATATATATATATATATATATATATATATATATATATATTCAATAAGAGTATAATGAGGTTGAATATTTGTCCGCTAGAGTTGTCAGACACTATGTATAGGTGATTATGCGAAATTTGTGAATGTCTTCTTTTTCAATTCTGGGATTGAGGCATTTATAGAGGACTTTTTTTGGGTGTAAGATAGAAAATCATGAGTCGTTTTCCTCCTTCGTGTTTTCTAAAGCATTGGAGTGTTAGTGTTCGATTTTATAATAATTTGTTGTACCAAAAATACTTGTATCTTTAACTTTTATTATAGTGGAATATGCTACTGTTTTCGATGATTAACATCATTGAAGAATGAAGTAGGTATAAAGATGACGAATTTTCAAACCACTGTATATTTTGTGTGCATTCTTCTATCCTTATCTCTTTAATTTTTTTTGTATCATGTTTGATTAAACACAATTCATCATTAAATTGTTATGGGCTGGTCAAATGCCCAAATAGGTGATACCAAATTCATTTTAGATTCATTCCACTTGACCCAAGGTATAAAAGTCAATTCACATGAAAAGCAAGATGCATTATCTGATCTCCATTTTTCACTATACTCATCTGAAATCTTGAACTGACTTGGGCGTTAATAGTTTTGTTTGATCTCTTGTGTCTGATAATGAGGAAACACATGTTATTTAATCCATTTATCATGTTTTGATTCCGCTCATTATCTTTTGTTTCAATGCGTTAACTCTAATTTTATAAAATAGATAGTTTTTGAATTTGGTCATTTAAAGGGGAACTATCTATTCAATCCCTTTTTAGACCTTATCGTATCTACACTCGCACCCAACACAATTGGATGTCCCATTTGTCCTATTTCGAACAACCTGCCACTCTATTTCAAGTGACTGAATGCTTAGCGTGGCTGGTTTTGCTTGTATCCTTTAGAACTATCTCGTTTAGAGACCAATAAAATTTTTCCGATACATTATACCTTAAGCATGAGGCTTTTGAAAGGACAAAATGATTTAATGTAGGCATAAACAATTTATTTTTGGACAAAACTGAAACAATCGAGTCTTTCAAACGAGACTTCATAAAGATGAATTTCTTAGACGAGACTTAATCTTAGATAGTCAAATTATTATGCATTATGTGATAAATAATTAATTATGGAGGATAAAACATTGAATTAAAAAGTTAAAATAACTAAACCAAAAAAATTTGTAAAAGTAGAATTTAAATAATAAAATAGTATTAATAAGATTTAATTATAATATCTAGAAGTCGAAGGGATAAATTTGTATGAAATTAAATTTTTATTATTTAGAGAATTTAAATTAAAATTAAACTATTATCCATTTAAAAGTGGTAATTGATCCGGTTTGATTTATTTTAAATAAATATAATAATAAGAAGAAAAACAAAAAATGGAATGGCACGTTTAATAGCAAAAATAATTAAAAAAACACTAAAAAGAGAATTAAGCTTAAAATAAATATATTTTTTTGGAAAGCTAAAATACGTTTTGCTGTTTTATTTTAGAAACATAAAATTGTTATTATTACATTACTGTCATTAATGAAAACTGCAAGTTTTCCGCATGTTTTTTATTTATAGTTTTATAGTATTAAAAATGGAATAGTAAAAAGCAAAACATAACTCACCTGTTTCAATTTTTTTTTGCTTTTAAAAACTGTAAAACTAAAAAGAGTTTTTAAAAACATTTTTGCAGAACATTATATTGAAACATGTTTTTAATTTTTTAATTTTCAAAAACTATAAAAAACAGTTTTTAAGAGGCATTTCAAACATGTTTTTAACTCCTACGTACTCTTTTTCTAAATAATAATATAAAACCACATATTGAATATTAATGTGTATATATAAACATATAAATCACACATGCATACGAGGGTTTTTTTTTTCTATTTATTTAATTTTATTCTTTTTTTCTGTGTATAGTGTGGTTGATTCATTCAAAACAGTTAAAATTATTTTTGAGAATTTTTAGGTACGTGTCATAGAAGCTTTTGATATTTTTGACTTGGTTTTCTTTTTACCCTATTTTTACGAACTAACATAACACACTTTTAGAGCATCTTTAGCGAGAGTAAACTAAATGGGTAAACTAAGATATTTTTTGTGGGTCCAAAGTGATTTGTAGGATTTAAAAAATTTAAAGTTGATTTGAGTAGTTTTTACTTTAACGGTGGTTGTCTATAAAAAACCAAAACTTGACCCCACATGGTATTAAATGGTTAATAAAAATCTATTATTTATGTTAAATAATTAATAAAAATCTATTATTTATGTTAAATAATGAGTTAGAGTACGTTGCTTGTGCAGAGCACGTAAACTAGTTTTAGAGCATTCCATATGCCATGTCAGCATTACTATAATGCAAATTCCTTATTACTAACGTAAACTATAAAGAATTTTGGTTTAACAACCCTGCACTAAAGTTGTTCTTACCACTCATTTTTATGATTAGGGTAACAAATTCAGTTACTTCTTTTAATTAATTTCACAAAAAAAAATTGCATTTTGTGTAACTGCCTCTAACTTCCCCTGAAAAATCTGAGCATGAAGTAGTGAGGTTGAGTTCAGTTTATTATCATTATTATTATATCATAGCTGTTCTTAATTTTTTATTCTTCTTTTTCTCTTTTCTCTCTCACAGTCCTCTCAAGTCTTTTTCTTCCTTCAATCTCTCAAAAACCATTCACACATAATAATAAATATCTACAACATAGTACACTGTTTTCTCTCTTTCTTACATTGTCTACATCAAAATTCTCGTACTTGTCTTCTAAACAAAGATTCTTCTGTTTTTTCTTATCATGGGATTCCTTAGGACACACTACAATAGTTCTTATCCTTCTCAAACTCTTGAAACTATCGACAACATCTCCGAAACCATCACTTTCCAACATCATGCACAAGAGCAACAACTGTTTGAACTTTCACAACAAAACTACGACTTTTCGCCTTCTTTTCTAGATGAAACCTTGTTTTTTCCGAGTCCTTATTTTTACTCAAACGAGACTTATCCCTGTGAAGATCAACTAATCATTGACTCAACTTTCTCTTGTGATCAAAACGATGGTTTTGTTTCAGTGAATGAGATTTTCCCAAATGATGAAAATTTCAATAGCTATGATGTTCCATGTGCGAAACGACAAAAGCTGGATTATGAAGAAACAAACCAACAACAACATGAACAAGAGGTTTTTACAGCGAACCCTTTTACTACTTCCTTTGAAGCGGAACCGTTTTCCGGTTGGAATGTGGTTGATGTTGTGCAATGTGAGAAAAAGGTTAGCGAGAGGAGTATCTCGACGCAGAGTATTGCGGCGAGAGAAAGAAGAAGGAAGATAACTGAGAAGACACAAGAGCTTGGGAAGTTGGTTCCTTGTGGACCTAAGATGAACACTGCTGAGATGCTTAATGCTGCTGCTAATTATGTTAGGTTTCTTCAAGCTCAAGTTGGAATGCTTCAAGTTATGCAAACTTTTAGCAAGGTAATAATTATAACTGCTTTTTAGTAACAAAATGGTGTATTTAACTTCTGCCACTGATGTCGGTGAATGTATTATCATATCATAGATTTTGGTAATTGATGATTTCAGGAAGAAAAGGAACCACCTCCAAGTGAAGATCTACACAAACTAGTTGTTTCTCCTATTGTTCAAGAGAAGTTGTATTCAGAAGAAAAATGCTTTATTTCAAAAGAAATTGTCACAACATTGACCAACAATGTTGATGTTAGGTCAAAACCTTCAATCCTTCAGAGTCTTAAGCAACTTGTTGGGACCGAGATTCTTCATCAGAATGAGAACAAACCAAAACAAGAATAATTTTACTTTCTATTGGTTGTTTTCTCCATTTTTGAGAGTTAATTTATTTCATTTTTTATGTTGTTATTTTTATTTTATTTTTGAGCCGTGTTGTATTTTTAATATGGCTCTTTTCTCATTAGCTATCATAGTGAAATATTACTATTTCAATAGAGTTCTACTGTACCATAAGTCCACTCAACCAATAAGTTTGTTTGTGTATCTTCGGTGGTTAACTTTTCTTTTTATTTCCGAAAACTCTGTTGCACTCTGAATTCCAATTGAGTGGAACTTCCTTGTGAAGTATGAAAGTAAATCAGAATATCATATTGAAGATCACAACAAACTGATCCAAGTATGATTGGAACACACGGATCATGTAGTCCATAAAAATAACTAGCACATTTGTCAATCCAAAAGGCATTGCAAGAAACCCATAATATCCAAATTGGGTTCTAAATGTGGTCTTTAGTGGATCAGAACTCTTTACTTGAATCTTTTTTTTAATGCGCAATTATATTGAAATAGAGCAGAAAACGTGCTCGAAACAATTACAAAATCATTTCAACATGAGATAATCTAAGCAAAACCGAATTACTCTTTGTACCTAAGAAAATCCAATTCCAAGAAGTAACTTTTATATGATTACACGTTTCTTCTAAATTCAGCCCCGCATTGTTGAATATCACGTTGTTTCTCCAAATCCACACCAACACGTCGCCAACCAACCTTTTGACTCAATAACGAATTGAATTTCTCCGCGTGTTTTGAAATAGATTCTTCGACAAAAAACTTCAAATCCTTCCAACTACAAATTAGCTCCCAAATTCTAGAAGCAAACAGAAAAGCGATAAACAAATGATACGAGTCTTCAGTAGGATTAAAACACAAATCATTTGTAACGTCATCATCATTGAGATTTAAAGTGAACAAATCTCTCCACCACACGGATGACTTCTTGAAATTCGTTTCCAGTCTGTGAGAAAGAACAGCCTGCAACACATTACCGTATCTAAAGTCCAGAATTTTCCTCCATATCGCGTCCTTTTCGTTGAGAAATCTCCACTTCCACTTAGTGATGAGAGCCTTATTAAACAATCATATATCCTTAACTCCCAACCCGCCTTCGTTTTTCGATTTACAAACATTTTTCCAACTAGACCAGAAAATCCCCTTCTTGTCTTTGACTCCTTGCCACCGAAATTTTGCTTGAAGCGAAATCATCTTTTATACAACAACTTTGGGCGCTTTATAAAAAGACAACATATAAAGAGGAACATAATTTAAAGTCGAATTAAGTAAAGTTAATCTATCTCCGAAAGACAGAAATCTTCCTTTCCACCTTGAGAGTTTTGCATTCAAGAAAGTGAAAATTTCATTCCACAACGCCACCCTCCTAAGATTAGATCCCACATAAACTCCAAGAAACTTGAAAGGAATTTGATCAGTATTACAGCACTGAAAGTCAGCCGCCGCATCCAAAAAAGAGTCTTCCGAGTTTATCCCGTACAACTTGCTTTTGCCAAAGTTCACTTTTAACCCCGATATCATCTCAAATCCTCTAAAAATCGCCTTCAAAGCCCACAAATTATCCCAACTACCTTCCCCCAAAATAATCGTATTGTCTGCAAACTGAAGAACATCATATGTACTGCCTTCCCCACATTTAAAACCTTTGAAAATTCCACACGACTTGGCTTTGTTAACTAACCCTGTCAATCCTTCGGCAACTAACGTGAAAAAGAAGGGAGACAATGAATCCCCTTGTCTAATACCCTTGGACCCTGTTAAGATTAATATTTTGATATTTATTTTTAATTAAATTAAGTATTGCAGCACATTAGAATGTGTCAGCTTATTGTTAGCTATTTTATTGTTTCAGTCAAAGTCAGTACCTAAATTTTAGGAAGGAATAAACTGATCCACATATAATGGGCAGTTAGGGAGATCGTGTGATATTATGTAAGCCTATTTATTGGCCTTTTCTTATTCAATTAAGTAAGTTTTCCAGCATTTGATTCTAACATCTGGTATCAAGAACAGAAAATTTCACAAGAAATCAAGAGAGAAAGAGCAGATGGCGTCCGAAGGCGGCGATCGTTTTAATCTACCATCAATTCCTAAATTTGATGGTGATTATGATCACTGGAGCATGCTCATGTAGAACCTTCTCCGTTCGAAAGAGTATTGGATTGTTGTGACCACATGCCTCGTTCAACCCGCTGCAGGAGAAGTGTCGACGGCTGCACAGAGAAATACGACGGAAGAGATGCAGTTGAAGGACCTGAAAGCCAAGAATTACTTGTTTCAATCTCTTGACATGTCAATTCTGAAGACAATCCCAAAGAAGGAAACATCGAAACAAATCTGGGATTCAATGAAGATGAAATACCAGGGCAATGTTCGAGTTCAGCAATCCCAACTCAATCGATTGCGCAGAGAGTTTGAGATCCTTGCCATGAAGCAAGGAGAACCAATCAATGATTACTTCGGTAGGGTAATGATGATTGCAAACGATATGAGGAATTACGGTGAAGATATGACTAATGTCAAGGTCGTCGAGAAGATTTTGAGAACCCTCACTGAAAAGTGAAACTATATTGTGTATTCCATTAAGGAAGCCAATGATATGGACAAGCTTACTATCGATGAGCTGCAAAGCTCCCTTCTTGTGCACGAGCAAAAATTCAAGAAGGAAGTAGATGAAGAGCAAGCACTCACGGTGGCATACGGTGAGAACAATGGTGGAAGAGGACGAGGCAGCCGCGGAGCTTTCAGAGGAGGAAGGGGCAGAGGAGGCAGAGGCCGGCAACCCTATAGCAAGGCAACCATTGAATGTTATAAGTGCCATCAGTTGGGTCACTTTCAGTATGAGTGTCCAAATATGGCTAAGCAAGCAAATTACACTAAAATTGAAGAAATTGAGGAGATGTTGCTCATGGCTTATCATGAATCGTTTGGGCAAAGCAAAACTGATGTGTGGTTTCTAGATTCAGGATGCAGTAATCACATGTGTGGAGACCCGTCATTATTTAATCGGTTGGAAGATGGATTTCAAAGAACAGTGCGGCTAGGGAATCATATGCAGTTAAATGTGGTTGGTAAAGGTATTGTCAGGCTATACTTTGGAGGCAATAGCTATCTTGTTCAGGATGTCTTCTATGTTCCAGAACTAAGGAATAATCTTCTTAGCCTTGGACAGCTGCAAGAAAAAGGATTAACAGTGGTGATGAAGGATAATAAATGTTGCATTTATCACTCAACAAAGGGCCTCATCCTTCAGAGCAACATGACCTCTAACCGTATGTTCGTTGTGCTCTCTGATAAGTATTCTGACAAGGACACAAAAGAAGTTTGTCTGCAGTCCACAACCCAAGATTCGGTATAGCTTTGGCATCGGAGGTTTGGCCATCTCGGTTACACAGGATTGCGCATGTTGAAGGACAAAGAGATGGTGAAAGGGATGCCGTGTCTTCTCGGACCTGATTCCATTTGCACAGATTGTCTGAAAGGAAAACAACATAGAGAAAATATTCCAAAAAAAAGCATATGGCGTGCTTCAACTAAGTTGGAATTAATCCATGCTGACATCTGCGGACCCGTCTCACCAGCTTCAAATGGCCAAAAGAGGTATTTGCTTTGTTTCATTGATGACTTTAGTAGGAAAGCATGGGTCTATTTCCTTGCTTATAAAGCTGATGCATTTGCTGCCTTTAAGCAATTTAAGAGTAGTGTTGAAAAAGAGTCTAGTCTGTCTATTAAGTGCTTAAGAACAGATCGGGGAGGAGAATTTACATCAAGTTCTTTCAATGATTATTGTAAAGATAATGGAATCAAGAGACAACTAACCACAGCTTACACGCCGCAACAAAACGGAGTAGCCGAGAGGAAGAACAGAACAGTGATGAACATGGTAAGAAGTATGATGGTTGATATTCCTAAGAGTTTTTGGCCTGAAGCTGCGAGTTGGGCGTTCTACGTTCTTAACAGAAGTCCAACTTCTTCTGTGAAGGACATGACACCAATGGAAGCTTGGAGTGGGATAAAGCCATCTGTAGAACATTTTAGGGTGTTTGGTTGTATAGGACATGTACATGTGTCTGACGCCAAACGCACTAAACTAGAGAATAAGAGCAGAAGTTGTGTACTGTTTGGGGTTAGTTCAGAATCAAAAGGCTACAGACTATTTGATCCCATAAGCAAGAAAGTCATTGTTAGTCAGGATGTTGTGTTTGAAGAAGAGAAAAAGTGGAGTTGGGATAAGAGTTATGACAGCTTGATAAGCCTTGATCTAGACTGGGGAAATGACATAAATGAAGGAGAAATTGAGACTCAAGATGTTACCAATAAAGATTCTGATGTTATTATAGAAACTGTCACTGAAGAAGATAAAGCAAGCATAGATGAAGAGGGAAGTGATAGAGAAAACACTATGGCAGCGGCTGCGTCATCTCCTGAAGCCACAAATACAAGGGAAGGAGATTGTGTCAGAAGGACAGACCGTATCAGAAGGAGACCAGTGTGGATGACAGACTATAACGTCAATGATGAAGCTGAAATTGCTGAAGCAAGTCAAGATCACACCTCACATTTAGCCTTATTCATAGAATGTGATCCTATTAGCTATGAAGAAGCTGCTAAGAGCCAAGAATGGAGAAATGCTATGAATTCAGAAATTCAATCCATTGAGAAGAATGAAACATGGTTTCTCACTAATCTACCGGAGGGAGCCAAAAGTATAGGAGTAAAATGGGTTTATAAGACTAAATTGAATCAATATGGAGAAGTTGAAAAGTACAAAGCTCGACTAGTTGCAAAAGGATATGCACAAGAACACGAAGTTGATTATGAGGAAGTATATGCACCAGTCGCTCGGATGGATACCGTGAGGATGATTTTAGCATTGGCAGCTCAGAAAAGTTGGATAATCTATAAGCTAGATGTAAAGTCAGCTTTCTTGCAAGGAGAACTCTCCGAAGAAGTGTACGTAGACCAACCAAGAGGGTATGAAATCAAGGGTG